TTTAAAGTTATTAATGAAAGATGTGTATTGAATCCTGTCATTTTTATTTCTGTTCACGTTCTTCATATAGCTGTGCAATTCCACAGTTATAACTTCGTTGAATTTCTTTCCATAACCCCTTGTGGATAGTCGTTCTTCTCTTCAGCTCTTTGTATTGCTTCAAGAATTCTCTGCAGGGCTGGTTTTGTGGACATGAATTCTTTCAGCTTATTTATGCCATGATAGATTTTTCTTTCCCCTTCAACTATGACAGACATTTTGGCTGGGTATAGTCATCTGTGTTGGCATCTGTGGTCATTTAGAACTGGGAATACTTTGGTCCAGGCTCTTCTGGCTTTCATAGTTTGCATCAAAAAGTCAGCTGTAATCCTGGCAGGTTTCCCTTTATATGTGACTTGTTGTTCTTCTTTTGCAGCTTTCAGTATTGTCTCTTTGTTCTGAACATTTAGTATTTTTACTATGATGTGTTGAGGAGAGTTTCTTTTCTGGTCCTGTCTATTTCGTGTTCTATATGCTTCTTGTATTTGTATGGGCATGTCATTTTTTAATTTTGGGAAATTTTCTTTTACAAACCTGTTGAAGATCTGTTCCATACCATTATCTTGAGATTCTTCTTCCTATATGCCTATGATTTGTAAGTTTGGTTTTTTTATGGTGTCACACAATTCCTGCATATTCCATTCTTGTGTTTTCTTGAATTTTTCATAATCTTTGCTTGAGTGGTCTAATTCGTCCACTTTGTCTTCCTGTCTTGATATTCTGTTTTCCATTTCATTCATCCTATTGGTGAGGCTTTCTCCTGTCAGTTCTAATTGTCTTACTCAGTGTTTCATTTCCTTCTTCATTTCAGCCTGAGTATTCTTCAATATTTCTAACTCTTTTCTGAATTCATTTAGAAGTTTATCCCTATCTTCCTTCAGTTCTTTGATTTCTTTGTGTATTCTTTAAATTCACTGAATTCTTTTATCATGTTTGTAATAGTTCTTTTGAGTTCCATGACCTGAATTATCTCTAGGGAGTTCTCATTGTACTCCTCTAGAGAACTATTGGTACTTGGTGGGGATATATTATTTTGGTTTTTCATGTCATTTTTTCTCTGTGACTTTGACATGTGAATTTCTTTCATAGTTTCTGATTCTGTGTGAGACTCAAACCTTCCTTCGTTGAGTTTAGATCTGCTTCTTTTTGTAAACTTTATGTGCCTTTGTGGTTTACTTGTTGGGCATGAAAAGCTGATTGGTCTAGGCTTCAGGTTCTCTCTTTTGATTTTATAGTGGAGTGGCCTAATTGCTTTTGTCTTCAGGAGTTCCCACAGAGGCCCAAGTGAGATGAGGCTCAGATGCTCTCAGGCTTTCTCCTAAGGTCTGGGTCCCTCCAGGAAAGATGCTGCCCTTAGGAATTTGGGGGCTGGGCTGCCTGGGAGTAAGGCCCAGGAAAGATGCTGGTCTCAGAAAGCTGGTGGCTGTGTGGCCCAGGGATGCAAAGGGAGGTAGAAGGGAAGAAGCCCCAAGGGCTCCTGGAGATTACTGGGAGGAACTGGGTTGGTCTGGATGCAAATGATCAGGAAGCAGTGGTGGCTCTGGGTGGAGAGATTAGCCCTGGTGTTTGGGGTTCCAAGACAAGAAACAGGCCAGTATCCAGGCTAGGAGGAGAGGCAGTGGGGGAGCTGCGAGGGTGAAAGAGGCTGCGGGGTCAAGGTGAAGTGGGCATCTGCTGGACTTATCCAGAAAAGGTGCTGGCACCAGGACCCGGGAGGCTGTGCAGTCAAAAATTATTTTAAAATAAATTTCCTGAACAACAGATAGCAGGAGCCATGACTTAAGACAGAGACCTCTGAAAACCTGCACTGTGCTTTAAGTAATGCACATTTTAAAGAATGGAAAAAAGGGGGAAGCCAGACAAAAGGTCCATAGCAGCCGCAGAGGGAAGTGGGATGCCTGGAAACCCTGTCTTCTGGGCACTCAGCAGCCACGGGGAGCCATTTTAAGATACTCCTGCTGCGCCTGTGACTTTGTAACCTTCTGCGCACTGTCGGGAAACTCAGAGCAGGTGCCATGGGACTATATACTGAGACCTACCCAGAGGAAGAATACTACCAGACTGAGGGGAAGAAAGTGAACCAAACCCACAAGGTATTCAGTGTAGTGGAAGCCTAGTCAGAATCAGAGTCTACAGGAGTACTTAAACATAGGTTCCAAGCAGTGCACTGAGCATTGGGAAGTAGCTCATGGAGTGGGGCCAGCATTTGTGACTGGACTCCCAGCAGTATGACTAGCATCTGAGATTCAGTTGAAGGGTTGCCCACTGACTAGATCAGCATCTGTAATCTAATCTCCCAAAGAAAGGCAAGGAAGCAGAGCTGCATTTGTAAAAGGCCCCCCTGAAGTATCCTTGAAGGACTGCCCAGAGGTATGCCCAGCATCCATGACCTGACAGAATGTGAAGGGAGCCAGGAAGGAATGCCAAGAGACTTCAGGCTGGAGCCCCCAAATGAGCCAGATTGCATTCATACTGTATCTTCCTATCCAGCTTGTTTTCCTTGACATTAATTCCTCCTTTAACACCTGATGTCAATTTTTCAGGCCAACCCTGTCCTGCTCTATTCTTAGTATCTCTCTATCTCTTCTTTGCTTTTGCTCTTTCTTTTTTCCTTTCCCCCAAAACACAGGCTGGTCTGGGTGGCAGTGCTTCCATGTCTCAGCCTCCTGAGAGCTGGGATGGTTCTAGGTTACCTGACTGAATAGCCAAACCTAACCTCAGTCCAGCCCATGCGCTTTTGTCACTATGGTTCTACTTTCGCTTACATTTGTTTCCTTCCTCCACTTTTTCTCCATCAACCCAATACTCATCACTAATCTTGCTGTTTCTTTTTCCTTTCCACTCATACCCACAGTAACTAATAATATATTAGTGCTCACAGTACTAGTCATTCTCCTTTACTGCTTAGGGGGTGATTGTTTTTTATTTGACTATTACTATATTTTCATAGTGGGCCTACTCTTAAATAGTAATTGTTTTGGCAGACAGAATTCTATTCTCAGGAATTTTCCTGAGGGGATCAATCCTGATGCCCTGAATACCAGTCTAGCAGAGAAAAATGCCACCTCAACCCTATTCCAATGTAGCTTCCCTTGAGCATTGCAAATACTACTACTGAAAGAAAAAGGGTGATTAAAAAATGTCAACCAGCCAGGCATGGTGGCGCACGCCTTTAATCCCAGCACTTGGGAGGCAGAGGCAGGTGGATCTGTGTGAGTTCAAGGCCAGCCTGGTCTACATAGTGAGTTCCAGGACAGCTGGGGCTACAGGAAGACCCTGTCTCAAAAAAACAAAAAAAAAAAAAAAAAAGTCAACCAACTACATAACTCCATATGTGCAAGTTCCAACACAAAACGTAAGAGATACGAAAAGCCAAGGAAACACAACTCCTCCAAATATGACTAGCCCGATAGTAATGGCCTAAAATGAGACTGAATTAGACAAAATCCCAGATAAAAATTCAAAAGAATGGCTATAAGTATGAACAAGGAATTAGAGGACACAAATAAATTCCTGAATGGATCCCAAAAGAACACAAACAGCTGGATGGAACAAGGAAGACAATACATGATGCGAAAATGGAATTCAGTAAAAAGACAGAAATATTGAAGAAAAAACAAAATGAATATTGGAAATTGAAAATCAGTAATTCTGTGGAAAGCCTTACCATGAGGATGCGAACAAAGCATTCAAGATCTAAGGGATACCCTGAAAAGATCTAATCTACAAATTATGGGAATAGAAGAAAGAGAAGACTCCTATGATAAAAGCATGAGGAATATCCGCCCCCTCTGAGATAGGGTCTTCCTGTAGCCCCAGCTGGCCTGGAACTTGCTATGTATACCAGGTTGGCCTGGAACTCACAGAGATCCACCTGCCTCTGCCTCCTGAGTGCTGGATTAAAGGTGTGCACCACCATGCCTGACACATAAGGAACATTTTCATTTTAAGTAAGACCATAATCCTCAACTCTCCAAATCTAGGGAGATGCCCAGTCCAGGTACAGCAGACACTTAGAACACCAAATAGACAAGACCAGAAAAGATCACCCTACATCAGATTACAATTAAAACACTAAATGAACAGAATAAAAAAAGTGTATTGAAAGTTTCAAGAGAGAAACACCAAGTCACATAGAAAGAGTGGCCTATCAGAATAACAACTGATCCCTCAACAGAAACTAAAAGTGAAGAGGACTTAGAGTGACATATTTCAAACTCTGAAAGATGACAACTGTCAACCCAGACTACTATCTGTCATAATTGAAAGAGAAAGAAAAACTTTCCTTAATGAAAACAGGCTAAAGAAATTCATGACCCCTAAATCAACTCTACAGAATGTACTGGAAGGACTCCTTCATACTAAAGAGAAAATACATCTATGAGGCCACAGTAAAGAAGAAAATAAATTTTTTCCTGATTTATTATCAATAAATGTTTGGCATAAATTTTTCTTGGGTAAAAAAGGATCATAAGTAGAAAAAAATGTTTTAGGCCTTGCACTAAACTTGAGGCCAGCCTGTGAGACTCAGGCAAAAAGGAGGTGATGAGCCTTGAATTACGGAATTCAAAGTCCAGATTTTAGAACAAAACTGTTTTCTTCTGGATCAGTCCTATCCCAGGTAGTGGTTACCCTTCTAAAATCAACTTGCAACAACCCCTATCTCTGATACTCATTCTGCAGTTATGAAACAAATAAAAACCAGGGAGGAAGACCCTGGGGTCAGGCAGCCTGGGTCCGGTCGTGGCTGTGCTCCTCTCTGACTGTAGAACCTCATGTGACTCTCCTCTCTTCTCTGGAACTCCATTTCTCCATCTGTTCAGTGGAGGGCAAGCCTCTGTCCCCTGAGCTGTCAGTCTAAGGTTCTTTGTACTTCTGTCTTGGCAGACTCCACCAACGTGGCTTTCACCATCTCGATGCTCTTGGGCAACCTCAGCAGCTGTTGCAACCCCTGGATCTACATGTGCTTCAACAGACACCTGTTACCACGCTCCCTGAGTCGCCTTGCCTGCTTCCAAGGTTCCCAGCCCCAAGTACACAGGCAGGTCTCCAACAGCAGCCTCTCTAGCCGCCATACAACACTGGTGACCCACTCCAACAGTCCATCCACTCTCCGCCTCAGCCTTATCCTCAGCCTCCATGCAAAGCCCAGGTCTGCAGCATCACTGAAGGACTTAGAGCAGGTAGATGGAGAAGCCACCAGGGAGACCAGCGTCTTATAGAGAAGACACCCCCCACCTCTCCACCACACCCTGAATCTGGCTCTGCCCATCTCAGGCACTGGGATTAAGGGCTGGGAGGGTCAGGGCTGGTACTAACGGGAGGCCAGTTTGAAGCTGGAATGGCTGCCACTACCCTAGGTGTCAAAACTACCCCTAGTGTGAATACTGCCCTCATTCTATCCTAATTTTAGATTGCTGGAAATCAGGAAACTCAAACTCACTGGTCCTGGCACTTGCATAGGGTACTCATGAACACATCCATCTGGTGAATCTAGCACCCTAGATCTGGGGAAGATCTAGATGGCATTGTCAACTCAGAGACTTGTCTCATGCCTTGACTGTCTTGTATTTTTTGGTGTGTGTGGGGAGTGGATTTTCATACAATATAATTTGATGGTGTTTAGATCTCCTCCCCTATCAACACTGTCCCTTTTTGCCCCTTCACCAGGCCTGTAGAGTGTAATTTGTGTCCCCAAATGTCCTTTAGTGTAGGTCTGTCCACTGGTGCCTAGTTAACCTACCAAGCGTTCCAACCTTGAAAGACACTAACTTTTCCCCTCGTAGCAGCCATTGGTTGCCAAAATTTCCTTAGATTAGGTTGGGGTTTCTTACCCACTCCCCCATGTCTGTACTGGGGATATTATCTGGTTTGAGCTTGCATAGGACTTGTGCATGCCTTCACCATTACTGGGAGTTCATATGAGTAACTGACCAGCTACCTGGAAATCTCTTTTTTCTGTGGTCATCTACCACCTCTGGCTCTTACAATCTTTCTGCCCCTTCTTCTACAATGATCTCTGAGTCTTGGGAGGCAATTCAATATAGGTGTCGTATTCAGGGATAAACAGTCTTCAGTCTCTTATTCTCTGTACATTGGCCAGTTGTGGGTTTCTGTGTTAATAACTATTGGCTACATAAGGAAACATCTAGCTTGATGGGCACATCTCAGTGAAACCAGGAGGGGACAGAGGATTATTAGAAAAGCAAATGGGGGGCTGGAGAGATAGCCCAGAAGTCAAGAGCACTGGTTGCTCTTGCCGAGGACCTGGGTTCGAGTCCCAGCACCCATATGGCAGCTAACAAACATCCTTAACTCCAGTTCCAGGGGAATTCCATGCCCTCTTCTGACCTCTGTGGGTATTACATAACATGGGTGCACTTACATACATGCAGGCAATACACATAAAACAAAAAATAAGACTGTCACATCCCTAGACTAATGTGATTTCTTACTATGTGCAAAATATGTATCTTATATTTACAGGCAAATATCCCAGTCACCAATCATCAAAGAAGCTCATTGTACCAGTTGGAGACTATTACCAAGTACTACAACTGGTCACACACAGACATTGTCTATGAATTGCCCAGGTCTAAGTGACACATCTACAATACAACCTCTACACCTAAGGCTCATGTAACATAGAACAAGGGTAAAGAAGAGGACACTAATGAATCTCTCAGTTCTCATTAATGAATCTCTGTCATGCAGCAGAGGGCCAGCGGAGGTCACAAATGGCCAAGGTGTAGAGATCAAGAGTCTGCTGAATGCTGGTCCTTGGACAGGACTCCTATATTAAACTTTACCCACCCAAGGCTCAGGGACCATTGAGAAAGAAGGGGTGGAAAGATTGTAAGAGCCAGGTTCATGACTATATGGAAACAGAGTCCTACAAGCTCCCGGGAACCTGCTCATATGATTCTATGACAATGGTGTCAGCATACACAAGTCTTATGCAAACTCAGGCATACAAAAACCCAGCATATAACTGGGAAAATGAACAGCAGATCCCAATCTTATCTGAAGAAATATTGGCAACTGATTGTTGCTAGGTGAAGAAGAGCTAATCTTCCTAAAACAAGGGACTCTAGATAGGCTGACTAGATCTCAGTGGATGGACTTGCACTGGGGAATGTCTGGGGATGCTGACTTGACACAGTGGGCCTTAACAGGGACAGAGTATATGGGCTCTGGTGGGGGGGGGGCTATGGGAAGGTGCCAGTGAGGATGGGGGTATAAAGATGATTAAGATTGTTTCAGATGTTCTGTATAAAATACACAAAAATTCAATAAAAACAAATTAAAACATAAATAAAATATTTTAAAAAAGAAAGAAAAGTGAGTGGGTGTGTGGGACTTCACCTGCTATGCTCACGTCTCTACAGAAGTGAGGTGGTCTGATTGCAATGTGGGACCTAGTGGTAACTAGTAAGAATGTTGCAAATGCTATCTCTCTTCCAAGTGTCTCTCCTTCCACGGGGTGGATGGCAGGGGGATAGACTGTATGTTCTCAGAGGTATGACTGACCCACCAGAGCTGAGAGCTGGAGGGAAGAGGAAAGGAAAGAAGGAATGAACATGGTCACAGTAAAATTCAGAGCAGAAAAAAGCCTCAGAGGCAGCAGGGGCTGGTCCTGCCTCCCTCCTCTGTTCAAGGGAGCTGTTCCTTCCTCTGGGACTGCATGGGGCAGACAGACTTTTTAAAAGGCTGACATGATTGTGGCTAGGTATCCTCAAGGCTCTGCAGAACTTCCTCTATAAATCTAGTGGAAGCTGGGATCAATCTCAGTTGTGCCTTGGGAAGTTGCACACCCTCTCTAGGGCATCAGCCTCCTCATCTGTAGTGAGATAGTGACTAAGGTCTTTCTCAGCTCTAGGCTTCTGTGACTTGGCAATACTGAAACCGTGTTGTAGCACAACAAATAACTTTAGAATTATTGGATCTTTATGGCAGAAACATGTACACCATTAACTCAGTTTTGGTGGGTCTTGCACAGACATGCCAGTCACTTCTGTCTTCAGTTCTGTAATGCTAAAACCTCCTCCAAGATGAGGAGAGTCATTAAGGAAGGATGGAACCTTGCTCTTCCCCATTATCTCCAGGGGAACTAAACTCTTAGGGGAACCTCCCCGACCCGGCTCAAGGCACAGCCAGGATTACACAAAAAACACCAGTCAAACGGTTAGGATCCTGGGTCTGCCCTTAGCAGTGACCACCTTTAGTAAAATGCTGAGTCTTGATATCTCAGTTACAAGAGTCAGACAGATTGGGTGTAAATGTGGTTTACAATCTCATAAATTCTGTATCTATGCAAGGAATCCCCAATCTACAAGCTCTTGAGCAAAACTCTAGGAAACAGGCTCACTTTCTGCCCACTCCCAAGGAAGCTTTCAAGAATGATCATGACCTTGTAAAGATACTCCTCTAAGAGGACACTCAGCCTTAAGATGTACCCCCACCCCAGTCTTCCTTAAAAGAAGAGTCCAAACTGATTGTTATGACTGAGTAGAACATCTAACCCATCGGTACTAGACAACTAGAGTGTGGCACACAGGTCCAAAAGGATTAAGGGGTAGGAAAATCAAGAGGAAGTCACCTCCCCTCTCTCCCTCCAGTGGGTTCTGTTGCCCAAGGCAGACCCCAGATATCTATGGGCAGTCCCGTGCACCGCGTTGCTGCTCGGGTCCCTGGCTCTCCGCAGCTACCGGATGCTGGCGACTCAGAGGTCGCTGCGCTTCTAGGCGAGTTCCATTCCAAGCTACCGGGCACTCCCTTTAGGTTTTGCGATCCGCTGGCCGCCGGATCACGAGGGGAGGTGCAAGAATGGCGAAAGCAGGATCTCCGCGAGTCGTTTACGAAGGGACAGCCCCCTCCAGAGAGACTGAATCGTAGGCAGTAAGACACAGAATTCAGCTCAGTCAGGTACAGCTCCTTTATTCAGTGACTCAGCTCAGCTCCAGATCTTAGTGATTCAGCTCCAATTAATTAGGGGGAAACCAGGATATTTATAGTGTGGAGACAGTAGCAAAAGCCTTAGTTGATAGGTGCTTTGTAGGATGCCCCGTTTGCATGTAGTGGTGGGCTTCTGCCAGGCTGTCAGACATTGCCTGATTATCACACAGGAAAACCTGGCAGTTTCAATGCCGGAGGATATGTATCTGTGACGGGCACTTCAAAAGGTGAGTCAGGAAGAGAGTAGGAAGGTGCCCAGCTGAGAAAGGGAGCCTCTGCACATGAACGCTGAGCCGGCTTGCGGCTATCCGGACATGTAGAGACTGCTACCTTAGACAGCAGGGGTCCCCAACAGATATCCAACTTCTTCTTCTCTGACAACCTTCCAGGTAGAGCTGGGCTTAAGACCTCCACCCCTCAACAAGCCAGTCAAAGCAGTTAAGAAGCTCCTTTCCTGTGGCTGGGAGAGATGGCTCAGTGGTCAAGAGCATTGGCTGCTCTTGCAGAACACACATGTGACAACAAACATCCTTAACTTCAGTTTCAGGGGATCTGACGCCCTTTTCTGACCTCTGCTGGCATTGCACGACATGGGTGCACTTACACGCATGCAGGTAATACACTTATACACATAAAATAAAAATAACAGAAAAATATTAAATAAAAGATGCTCCAGCTGGGTGTGATGGTACACGCCTTTAATCCCAGCACTCAGGAGGCAGAGGCAAGCAGATCTCTGAGTTCCAGGCCAGCCTGGTCTACATATCGAGTAGAGGCCAGCTGGGGCTACAGGGAGACCCTGTCTCAAAAAGACCAAAAACAAAAACAAATTTAAAAAAAAAATCTCCTTTCCCTGTGTGGGTAGTCTTCTACCCTGCCACTCCATGCCCCATCTTCTGACTGAAGTTCCTGGCCCCAGTGCCTATATTGAGTGGGTACTAAGTGAATACTTATTCACTGTGATGGGTGGAACACAGGGGGAGCACCAGCTGTATACCCCAAAGATCTGGGTTTGAATTTTGATCTCGCCCTTTTTCTATCTGTATGAGCTTGACAAGTTCCTAATTTCTCTGAGCAATATTACCCTTATTTATTAGATAGAAATAACAGTGCCACTTTGTCAGGCCCAGGGGAATCTATAGTTCAGAGAAGAAAACAGGGGATCTGGGATCAAGGCTGGCTAAGACTTTCTAGCTTCCTCTTTGCCTTCAGTAGTACCCTATCTGCCCACTATTATACTTTATCTTGTAAAATGCACAAGGAAAAT